TCCTCCTCCTTCTCCTCCTCGTCGGCCAGCCCTTATTTTCACAATCCGCCGTGAATCAGCAATAGCTGGATGCTCTGAATAAATATTTAATCCGTGCGGTGAATATCCCAAATTAATTAATGACGTGCCCGCGTTTCCTCTCTTCCATTATTATCGGGAATCGCATCGAGCCTCAAAATATAATTTCCATTTTGCTCCCGCAACGACTTCCCGATCGCGGAAAATTCTTCAAGTTTCATGAAGAAAAATGATGAAACGACCAATCTCATTTGCTCTCGCATTTAAAGTAGTTAAGAAGAAATAACTGCGATAACTGCATTTCGCCCGCGGGGGAAAGCAGCGGTAATACAAGTTATTACTTTGTTGTGCAGTCATTATTATCTCGCAGTTATTATATTGCGCAATCGCGGTCATTGTTTTTGATTTACGGGGCTCTGCGCGTTGCGTAAATCACTACCGCCTCGATCGAGCTACCCCCAGTATCCTGAATATCGAGCACCACGTATCCGAGGTATCGAAAACATGTGCACGGAGGCAAGGCAAGATGGGACGGGCCGCTAACACGATAGCGTTAACATGTCTCGTGAGCTAATTAATTCCGTAACTCACTCCGGAATCCGGAAACTGTTGACACGCTGTCCGCCGTTGGTATTTCCGCCCCGCCTTGCGCTCGCAAGCGATATTAATATTTACTCGTCTACACGACACGCGCGCGCACCCCTATATGGATTTATTACATAATATTAATTGCTAACGTATAACTGATATCTAACTTCCTCCGCAGACAATTTCCGCGGGAATGGAGACGTTTTGTCGCTGGTCTAAGGCCTGGAGCACATGAAATGCATAATAGAGCATAAGCATAGCACAGGATTGGGAAAGTTACTTTGTAAAAGTAACCGGTTACAGTTTTTATCTCTCAAAAAATAACTAATTACCGCTACAAGTTACCGACTCCCCGAAAAATAACAGTAACAAAAGCAAAAAATAATAAAAACAGTTTGTTACAGTTACAGTTACTCAAAAAATAACAAACCTTTACTTTTTAGTTACTTTTAATAGAACAACATTAGCGCTATAAGAAAAAGACTTGGTTTACATTTACAAAATATTATATAATTTTATTTAAAAAAGAAAAGTAATGCGCGTATTTAAATATGAGCATTTAAATATTTCGCATAATTACAATCAACTCATTACTATTAGGTGATTGAGCGAAAGTGTTGCATAATTTTGATCTATGTGACGATTTGATATATATATATAAAATAACTGTAAAAGTAACTATTGAATTAGTTACTAGTTACTTAAAAAATCTAAGTTAAGTTACAGTTACACATGGAAAGAAAGTAACAAAGTTAAGTTACAGTTATTGAAAAAATGTAACTATAACTGTAACTTCGTTACAAGTAACTTCCCGATTCTGATGGCATAGCATAAAGCGGCTAGACCAATGAGAATATTATGTAAATAAATATGGCGATTTTATGCTGCTCATTGGTCTGGCCGCCTTATGCTATAATGCTTATGCTCTATTATCCATTTCATGTGCTCCCGCGCGTCTGACTGATCATGATGTATATCGTCATTATGCAAACAATCGATCTCGCGAATCCCCGAGATTACGCTGGCCGAAGGCCATATGGCGTCGGATTACGCCACGCGACGCATTTAAATTGATTTCATCGAAATGTTAATATCCCTCGCCCCGCGACTTTGTGCTGCACTTCGGCGGCCGGGAGAAAGGGGAAGTCCCGTGTCGCCGTTGGAAATATTGTATATACGTCGTCCTCGTCAAAGGTAAAATCCGTAAGAACGTCTCCTCACGTGGAGAGATTGTTATACGCGGCGAGATTCCTCGCCTTTCTCGTGGAGTCTCGTGGTAGTTCTCGGAAAAGTATATATACTCTCAGAGCGAAGACGACGTTATCGCACGTGAAGTATAATAACGCGAAGACGAGAAAACCTACTACCCGCGCTCGCACAGTCTTTCCCCGTGCCAAAATCGGCAGCCCTGCCACCGCCGCGCCGACGTCGTCGTCCCTATATAGCTCCTGTCAGCGTACATACATCGAGAGACCCGTTTGCTATTCCGTGAATTTACATTCCGGATCGTTTGTCACTCCCTTTACACGCGATATACATCCGTATAGGTACGTCGACTACGTAATCAGCCCGGACACTCGTTTCTTTCAGGATTGAGGAAGACGCGGGAACGGGGATCCTGCTGAAAACCGAGGGGAATGTTTCTTATTATATGTACGACGCTCCTTGAATTATTTTTCCCTTTCCACATCTCTCTCTCTCTCTCTCTCTCTCCCTTTCCCTTTCTCCATCTTCCTCTTTCTCTCTACTTGTTGAGACTAAATGAGCTTTTTAATCAATTCAAAGCATATTGCGCTTTGCGTTACACAAAGGCAGCACAGTGAACATTTCTTGTTACTTGTAATACGGGATTTGAGAAATTTCTCATTAAACACTGTATGTACCTATATACAAAACTGAGCGGGGCGCGTTCGTGAAAGTTGAACAAAGAAGAACTTCATCTTCCTCGGCGCGAAGATATTTAACGAGCTCGCAGGCCCACACGCGAGAGTCAAATAAACGCTTTTTTTTTTAAATTGATTTTTAGGATGCTCGAGAACTCCATTTTTTCGCTACTTCTCGCCATCATTATTGCTCGATCGTCTTTACGTTCTCGTTGCGTTATACCGGATCGACGCCGGATCGTCTATTGACGACGAGAATCGCCTCGCCTGGAATAGCATCCAACGCGTACATCCTTTAATTTTATCGTTGGGTTTTCTGTCCGCACGCGTTCCGTGACCGCAAGCTCCAGGTTGATCGAATTACTCTTCGTGTCCTCACTCATTCGTGTGACACGCACCCGAAGTAGCTGCACGAATCTAATCGAGGGAAGGCTGTTCCAGCAATTTCGTTATCGCGCACTCCTCGATAACGTTGGGAAATTATCGCTCTTGACAATTTCCCATTCGTATAACGAGTCGAGGTGTGCAATTTTAAATTTTCCCTAAAGATTACTCATTATAACGTTTGCGTTACTTTTCTCTCTCTCTCTCTCTCTCTTTCCCTCGCTCTCTGCCCGAAGGGCAAGTTAAATTTCGCGATCGCGATTTAAGCCCTTTCGTGACAGGCTCGTTTCTCATTTGCACATTGTCGGGCCGCCACAAAGCACCCCCTTCACTGCACGACGATTGCGGTGCGGCTAGAGCGGACGAGCGGGAGACGATCACTTTTACGACGTTACCGCGAATCCACCCGCTCGCTGAGTTTTGGGGTGAGCAGGCCACGCTTGCGCAAGTCCGACAAGCTTGCCGGGAGCCAGAACCGACGTGCAACAACCATGCGAGCTTCAGTTTTCGCCAGGTCCTCGTCGTGAAAAAAAGGCACCCGGTCGCTCGCGGCGGGCGAGAGAGGCAACCCTCGCCGCTGTCCCGGTCGCCCTCGCGGGGCGCGAGTCCGCTCCATCGGTCGGGGGAGGAAAACGAGCGACGAGCGACGAGCACGTGCCTCGATCCGCGCCTCGCGACTCGTTATATACATTCGTGAACGTCGCTCGGAGCCGGCTCGGTGCTATTATAATCATCATCGCGCGGCGGCTATCTCTCGAAGTGAGAGTGAAAGCGCGAGTTGGTGTGCTGCATGTGGAAGCGGCCGCTTTGCATTTCGCTCGTCGTCACGCGACACGCGGCGGGACCGACTGCAGATTTCCATCGGAAAGCACCCCGCGATTCGTGCGGCGACTCGCCCGCGCGGGGTGCGTGTCAATCTCGCGTACGTTGAATCGCACGCGTATAAAATTAACGAAATTGTAAATTAATAAAAATTACGCCACTAGCTATCGTATTTCGTGTTGTGTGCAAGGGAGTTGCGAGCTCGTCGGCGGAGGCGCGCGGAAGCCGTGTGCATCGGGCGGATCTGTAGATCACTTTCGCTTTTTCCGAAACTCACCGGCGCGAAATCTCCCGTTTGTCGCGAAGGGCCACGTGCGGTGTGAGCGAATGGGGGGGGGGGGACGGATCCGTGACAAATCTGTGAGAAGTCGTCGAGTGGATATACGCGACAACTGAAGTGAAGTCCCTGGTGAATATATATATTGGGGTGGGCCGAAAAAAAATTTTTTTTTTAATCAACTAGTAATACTCCCCAAAAATTAGCTATGGACTTCAATATGGTTTGGGTAAAATTTCATCGAAATCGATTAATATCTCCAGGTTGCCCCTCGACCTTGCAATTAGTAAGTTATGCATTTCTTCATAGATGTGTCAAAATTCAAAAAATATTTGAATTTCAATACAGTTATTTCAATTTAGTTATTACCTGTTGTTTTTTGTCGCTGAACACGAATTCGAGGTCAGAAGTATACATTTCAAAATGACGGATCCGAAATATATTCTTAATACATTAAGATTTCTCAAAAAATATGATAGATATGGAAAAATGTTGCAAATAAATATTGTACGGTTCGAGAAGGTACATAGGAAAATATCATTAATTCTATTTTAGGTGGCGTTTTTAAGATCAGATCAAGATCACATCGATCTTTTTAAACGGAATTATATATATATTTTTTACACAATACGATTCCTCTAATTATTCTGCATATAAAAGTATTAGGTAAGTTATCGAAAAATCAATATTTTACGAGATATTTTATACTTTATTATGCCATATTTCGTTATATAATATGAAATATCTCGTAAACTATTGATTTCTTGATAATAATACCTAATATTTTTAGGCACAGAGTAATGAGATAAATCGATTGGTGTAAAGAAAACACACAGTTGCTTTAAAAAAAAATTTATAAGAAATGCATAAATTTACTAATTTCAAAGTCGAGGGGCAACCTGAAGATATTAATCGATTTCGATGAAATTTTACCCAGACTATATCGAGGCCCATAACTAACTTTTGGGGGATATTACAAATCAATTTTCAAAAAAAATTTTTTTCGGCCCACCCTAATATATATATATATGGCAACGTCCACGGTGGCGGACCGTCATGAGATCGTCGGGAGAACTTCCCCGGATGTTTCCGAGCGCGTGCTACCCATGAACGTCTGCCCACCAAGCAGCTTCCCGGACAAGTTTCAGGATTTCTTCGCAGCGCTTACCGAGGACGGCGACGATCTACCCAGCATGCTCGAGGACAAGCTCATACCGAGGTGAATGAGGCAAAAGTTTAGTCGGTAAAGGCTTGTTCAAGTACTGGAAAGGACGTGTATGGCTAATTCTCGTGGCAGAAGGCAACAAGTAGTTGTACATTTCGAAGCGGCAAGCGAAAGGCAGGAAGCGTTCTGTAAGGATAATAAAGGGAGGACAGGAAAAGGGAATGTGGTTGTATGTAAATTGATTGTCAGGAGGCGAAAGCCACGTTAAAATGTCATTCGCTGAAATATGAAAAGCGAATTAATTAAATGCTAAAGACAGAGCTATCCAGATTTATAAATCGAACGTCAATTAGCAGCGAAAAACGGATATTAAAGTATTCTTACTGAAGCGTGAAAGACTTAATTAACTGCTAAACGTCGAAATCGGTAATAATTAAATAACTATAAATAGCGTATACGGCCGCTGATCAGATTAGCCTAATGCGATTAAATAATGATGTGTACGTGCGGCATTATGTTGAAACAAAGAGGGTAATTTGCGCACGTAGCTTATTTTAGCACCATTCGATATTGCAATTTGCATTTATAAAAGTAAGATTTGACCTTCCTCGAGTTATATAGGTATGTTTTTAACGAGCGAAATGAGATCTGTGTCAAACGATGAGAATTCAGAGAACCCCTCCTCTTTTTCCATAATTTATCTACGAAATTACGCTTTTTAATTTTGAGGAGAGCGATGTGGACTCTCTGTTACACCGATGTGTCGTACTTACTGGAGTTCGCGGCATGTGACGAAGTATGTACGCGTGGGAAGTCATTGGTATTGGTTGAAGCCATTTGAGATTCTCGCAATCGGATTAGAACCTGTCGCGGGACGATTCTATACGCTATCCTCCCTCGCCTTCCCCCGTCCCCTTCCCCTCGTCCTTGCCACGGGTAATGAATCAATCTTCCACCGAAACTGAGCTTAATGCGACGAGCGGAAATAGAGCGACGATTATACTCGGGGAAAATCGATAGCGCAATGCGTGCGTAAAAATAGGATTATACCGCTTCGAAAGTTGCCTCGCGAGAACAAGGGAAAACGAGCATCCGAATATATATGTATATGTATATATATATATATAAATATATATTTATATATATTCTCTCTCGTCTCTAAGCCGGGATGCTAAACCGCAAACTTGCAGAAAGCCGGACACCATGAGTGTCGACGCGAAAAGCCGGCGCTGGAGCAAGAGGGCTTTCCAAAGGCGGAGCAGCGAGGTCGAGGTCCGTCTGCATCACACGTCGCTACCCGGATCTCAGGGTCACAGCAGCGTGGAGTGCGTGGACGGACCGAAGTCGCCGACCCCCTCGAGACGCCGAAGTTCGAGCATCGCGGTTGCCAGACCCACGCCGGACTTGCACAGGTTAACGTCTTTCTCGTAAAAGTTGATTGATCGTTGTCTCCGTATATCTTATATCCGCTTGACGTAGCCGCTACGGCGATCAATCTGTCCGACGCTCAAAAATAGTGCCTTAGCGCCTTAAAGTCCGCGGAACCGCCGACCGGGCGCTGGATCTTTTCAGCGAGCCGCGGAAATGTAAATTGATTGAAAAGTCTCGGATTTACGGCACGCTTGCCTACGCGACGCGGCACGTGCCTATACACAACGGCGTTTCTATTTTCGTCTATGTACGTCTGCAGATTTCTGCAAACGGAGGCCGGTCCCTGGGGTCACCTGTCGCCCTCGCCTAGAAGCCCGACCAGAACACCGGCGCTGAGCCCCGGAGCCGCGTCGTCGTCGTCGGCGCACCTGAGCGCGAGCGCAAGCCCGAGCGGGGGACCCAGTCCGACGAGTCCTTGCGGCCCGGCTGGCCTGGCATCCGGGTTTCGCGGAGGTCCCGGCCCCAGGCAGTATCGCAGCAGAACAAGCAGTATGCCAGCGGTCCCACGTCACAGGGTAAGAAATAGAAAGTAGAACAAAAAGAGTGGGAACTGAGTGAGCCCTCCTACCTTCGGTAGAAAAAGACCTTAGAATTTTTTGTGTGTGCTCTCATCACAAAAGAAAGAGGAGAGAGATAGATGGATAGATAGTATCGCCATTTATTATGTGCTCCAGGATAAATTCTCTCAAACGCAGAATCGTGATTCACAAGAATTTGACCAAAAAATTTGTTTCCATCCAATTACAAAGTGCGAGTAAAGAAATTTTATAAAACAAAATGAAGTGAAGATAAAGAAAAGTATGAAAGTAAAACAAAGAAATATAATACATATAAGGGTAACTTCGGTACATACGCCGCACCTATTAAAAAGTTAATTTGCCAGTATTATTAATTATGTTTAAGGTAAATGAACTATACCAGTAAAAACTTTAGACTGTCTTCTACTTCTACGAAAAAAATATTAGGAATCCAAAATATTTATTTTTTTATATATTAAAAACAAAAATTCTTTAATCCCTTGCATTTTTGTCGTATAAAATTGTGGATGGATTATACAGCTACTGATGGGTGGGATAAATGACTCAAAAAATATACAAATAATCTAAATAATAATAGTAAATAATACGTGAATTGATAACGTAATTTGCATTTACTTATTATATTAATAAATAAATAAAAAACGTATTATCACAGATTATGAATAAATATACATATATAAATATATACATACATGAATATTATGATTAATGTATTGTAAAGGGTGTATTAACACGTATTATTATTTACTTTTATATTTATAAATAAATAATAGAGCGTTTGTACTACGGCATAAATCCCACGCGCTAAAAATGCCGTATATCCTAAACAGATGGAATATACGAGACAATGAATTAAGCAAAGAATACAAGAGCTAAGCACTTGTATTTTGCTATACTCTATCCTTTACAATTCCTCTATACTTATGTATCACGAAATAATCACGAAGCCTTTTATATTTTCTACAAAAATCATTTTATGTAGATTATAACTTA